TGCATGCATGCATGTATGTGTGTATGTATGTATTGTATGTATGTATGTATGTATGTATGTATGTATGTATGTATGTATGTATGTATGTATGTATGTATGTATATGTATGTATGTATGTATGTATGTATGTATGTATGTATGTATGTGTGTGTGTGTGTGTGTATGTATTTATGTGTGTGTGTATGTAGGTGTGTGTATGTATGTGTGTATGTATGCGTGTTTTATGTCTGTATGTATGAGCGCGTGTATGTGGGTGTTGTGTGTGTGCGTGCATGTATGTATGTATTTTCAGTGTGTTTGTGTTAGGTGTGTGTATGAAGGGCCGAATGAAGACGGGCCTGCGTGCCCAATTTGTGAATCTTTGATAATAAGTGGGTGTTTGTTAATGCGTGCACTAGTTTGTGCATGCATTTTACCACCCATGTGAAAGACGGGTCATCATTGGACCTGCATCATCATGAAGACGGGCCTGCGTGTCTTCTTCTGTGAATCATCACATAGATAAAGTTTGTTCTAACTGTTATACTCCTCGCTGCTACTAACTGTATAGTCCTGGCTGCTAACTGTATTGTCCTCGCTACTAACTGTATAGTCCTCTCTGCTAACTGTATAGTCCTCTCTGCTAACTGTATAGTCCTCTCTGCTAACTGTATAGTCCTCTCTGTTAACTGTATAGTCCTCTCTGCTAACTGTATAGTCCTCTCTGCTAACTGTATAGGTCTTGCTTTTAACTGTATAGATCTCGCTGCTAACTGTATAGATCTCGCTGCTAACTGTATAGTCCTCTCTGCTAACTGTATAGATCTTGCTGTTAACTGTATAGATCTCGATGCTAACTGTATAGATCTCGCTGCTAACTGTAAAGTCCTCTCTGCTAACTGTATAGATCTTGCTGTTAACTGTATAGATCTCGCTGCCAACTGTATAGATCTCGCTGCTAACTGTATAGTCCTCTCTGCTAACTGTATAGATCTTGCTGTTAACTGTATAGATCTCGCTGCTAACTGTATAGATCTGGCTACTAACTGTATAGACCTCGCTACTAACTGTATAGATCTGGCTACTAACTGTATAGATCTCGCTACTAACTGAATAGATCTGGCTACTAACTGTATAGATCTGGCTACTAACTGTATAGATCTCGCTACTAACTGTATGGATCTGGCTACTAACTGTATAGATTTTGCTGCCAACTGTATAGATCTCGCTACTAACTGTATAGATCTCGCTGTCAACTGTATAGATCTGGCTACTAACTGTATATATCTCGCTGCCAACTGTATAGATCTCACTACTAACTGTATAGATCTCGCTACTAACTTTATAGATCTCGCTACTAACTGTATAGTCCTCTCTGCTAACTGTATAGATCTCGCTACTAACTTTATAGATCTCGCTGCTAACTGTATAGTCCTCTCTGCTAACTGTATAGATCTCGCTACTAACTTTATAGATCTCGCTACTAACTGTATAGTCCTCTCTGCTAACTGTATAGATCTCGCTACTAACTTTATAGATCTCGCTGCTAACTGTATAGTCCTCTCTGCTAACTGTATAGATCTCGCTACTAACTGTATAGATCTCACTACTAACTGTATAGACCTGGCTGTTAACTGTACAGATCTCGCTGCTAACTGTATAGACCTGGCTGTTAACTGTACAGATCTCACTACTAACTGTATAGATCTTGCTGCTAACTGTATAGACCTGGCTGTTAACTGTACAGATCTCACTACTAACTGTATAGACCTGGCTGTTAACTGTACAGACCTCGCTGCTAACTGTATAGACCTGGCTGTTAACTGTATAGATCTTGCTGCTAACTGTATAGACCTGGCTGTTAACTGTACAGATCTCACTACTAACTGTATAGATCTTGCTGCTAACTGTATAGACCTGGCTGTTAACTGTACAGATCTCGCTGCTAACTGTATAGACCTGGCTGTTAACTGTATAGATCTCGCTGCTAACTGTATAGATCTCGATAATTACTGTATAGATCTCGCTGCTAACTGTATAGATCTCACTGCTAACTGTATAGATCTCGATACTTACTGTATAGATCTCGCTGCTAACTGTATAGATCTCACTGCTAACTGTATAGATCTCGATACTTACTGTATAGATCTCGCTGCTAACTGTATAGATCTCAGTGCTAACTGTATAGACCTGGCTGTTAACTGTATAGATCTCGCTACTAACTGTATAGATCTTGCTGTTAACTGTATAGATCTCACTACTAACTGTATAGATCTCGATACTTACTGTATAGACCTCGCTGCTAACTGTATAGATCTCGCTGCTAACTGTATAGATCTCGATGCTAGCTCTAATGATGCTGGTGATGGTTCCTAGAAATTCTTTAATTAAGTCTGGATCAGATGTTACAAATCGCAAAGTTCACCTTTTCACACAATGAAGCAGACATTACACAGAATCGCATTTGTCTACTAACGGGTCAGATAGATTTACACCTACAGACATTACACAGACTCGCAAGGATCTATTGACGGGGGCAGATAGATTCACACCTACAGTCATTACACAGACTCGCATGGGTCTACTGACGGGGGCAGATTGATTTACACCTACAGACATTACACAGACTCGCATAGGTCTACTGACAGGGGCAGATAGATTCATACCTACAGACATTACACAGACTCGCATGGATCTACTGAAGGGGCAGATAGATTCATACCTACAGACATTACACAGACTCGCATGGGTCTACTCACGGGGGCAGATAGATCCATACCTACAGAAATTACACAGACTCGCATGGGTCTACTGACGGGGGCAGATAGATTCACAACTACAGACATTACACAGACTCGTATGGGTCTACTGATGGGGGCAGATAGATTCATACCCACAGACATTACACAGACTCGCATGGGTCTACTGACGGGGGCAGATAGATTCACAACTACAGACATTACACAGACTCGCATGGATCTACTGACGGGGGCAGATAGATTCATACCCACAGACATTACACAGACTCGCATGGGTCTACTGACGGGGGCAGATAGATTCATACCTACAGACATTACACAGACTCGTATGGGTCTACTGACGGGGGCAGATAGATTCATACCCACAGACATTACACAGACTCGCATGGGTCTACTGACGGGGGCAGATAGATTCACAACTACAGACATTACACAGACTCGTATGGGTCTACTGACGGGGGCAGATAGATTCATACCCACAGACATTACACAGACTCGCATGGGTCTACTGACGGGGGCAGATAGATTCATACCCACAGACATTACACAGACTCGCATGGGTCTACTGACGGGGGCAGATAGATTCACAACTACAGACATTACACAGACTCGTATGGGTCTACTGATGGGGGCAGATAGATTCATACCCACAGACATTACACAGACTCGCATGGGTCTACTGACGGGGGCAGATAGATTCATTCCTACAGACATTACACAGACTCGCATGGATCTACTGATGGTGGGGGCAGATATATTCACACCGACAGACATTACACAGACTCGCATGGGTCTACTGACGGGGGCAGATAGATTCCTACCCACAGACATTACACAGACTCGCATATGTCTACTGACGGGGGCTGATAGATTCATTCCTACAGACATTACACAGACTCGCATGGATCTACTGATGGTGGGGGCAGATAGATTCACACCTACAGACATTACACAGACTCGCATGGATCTACTGACGGGGGCAGATAGATTCACAACTACAGACATTACACAGACTCGCATGGGTCTACTGACGGGGGCAGATAGATTCACACCTACAGACATTACACAGACTCGCATGGGTCTACTGACGGGGGCAGATAGATTCATGCCTACAGACATTAAACAGACTCTCATGGGTCTACTGACGGGGGCAGATAGATTCAAACCTACAGACATTACACAGACTCGCATGGGTCTACTGACGGGGGCAGATAGATTCACACCTACAGACATTACACAGACTCGCATGGGTCTACTGACGGGGGCAGATAGATTCACAACTACAGACATTACACAGACTCGCATGGGTCTACTGACGGGGGCAGATAGATTCAAACCTACAGACATTACACAGACTCGCATGGATCTACTGACGGGGGCAGATAGATTCACAACTACAGACATTACACAGACTCGCATGGGTCTACGGACGGGGGCCGATAGATTCACACCTACAGAGAGAAAGTAAAGAGAAGGACACTTCTCCATGCCTTCAGGTTGTTTGGACATATAGGGTTTGTCCTACATTGTATAGACCAATCGGCACACTGTGGGTGATGTGATCAACATCACACTGACCGCCTTTACACCCAAGATTTTACTTGGCACCCATTAAAGGCTGAGTCGACATGGAAGCCAAAGTCACTTTTAAACAAAGACCCGAACCTACAACCTTCTGATTTGCAGGTGTGCGTCTAGCCATTCCACCAAGGCCGCTCTCACAATAGAGAGAAAGTTAAAAGTTAGTTGCGTATCCTTTACAGGTCGTTGCAGAGCCAACCCCAGCATTTAATGGAAATTAATTTAAAAAAAACACAAAATATATTATATTATTTGCTTATTGTATTCACTAATATACACTTTTGCATCATTTCAGACTAAAAATTGGCAGTTCAGACAGCAAGTCTCCTTTTTATAAATTTCACTGGACATTTTCTACTAAGATTTTTGCCCTGCACTGGCAGAAGTGAACTGCTACTTGCACAGTATCGACAACAGACATCACTTCTGCACATAAGAACCAGCTTAGATTGAGACTACAAGAAGCTCCAGTCTTTGTTCAGAAGTCACAAGAAAACCAGACACTGTTTTTGAATAGCTGGATAAACGTGTTAACAGTTTTATAATAAATTAAACAAGTTAGTAACCAGTTATAGACTAATACATTTCTTCATTGGAGACAGCGCTCTGTAAACTTCATCTTGTCAACTTTCTGAACCATTTTATCCAGTGCCTCTTTCACCAACCTCGTACTAGTTCATCATGTCAGGTGCTTGGCAACACGCAGTTTTTGGATGCTTTGATAACATTGGGGTCTGCATCGTCGCTTACTTCGTTCCCTGCTACACATTTGGTAAGAATGCTGAAGCAGTTGGAGAGTCATGTTTTGGATGTGGCTTTGCTTACTGCATTCCTATAGTCAACATTGTTGCTGCAGTCAAGATTCGTGGCAAAATCCGCGAGCAGAAGGCAATAGCTGGATCTACTTTTGGTGACCTAGCTTTAATCTGCTGCTGCCCTTTATGTGCTTTGGTCCAAGAAGCTCAGGAGGTACAAGTTCCTGGAGCTCAAGCTATGGCTAGGCAGTGATTTATTATAGGCATCTACCTATCTCACAATCTGCAATATCTATCTGTTTGTAACCCAACTTATCTAAGCTTGTAACCTTTTACTAATTATTCATCAACTTTTGCCTTTGATATTATTCGTTTTAAATGTATGAGCTGACACAATGCAGTGCAAAACCAAAAGTATTCAACTATTCTTTTAGCAGAATGGAGAGGCTTTTTTTTTTTCTAAAAGTATTTGTTTCGCTAGCATTGTTAAATACTCACAATAAGAAATTTTTCTGGCTTCATGTTTTTTTTTTTTTAACATTTTATTTAATTTTGTCAATGTTTTCAAAATGAATTGCTCAGTTTACAATTTTTTTTTTAAAATTACACACATAATTAAAACACAAATAGAATACCATTAGCTATGTATATTCCTTCTTTGTTGAAACTTAAACAATTTATTATACATTTATTATAATTTACAAACTTAATTCGTCCAGAATACAGTTTTATTTGCATGTCCAAGTACAGCAAGTTAGTTTAAAATAGAAAAACAACAAAATAATGGTTTAAAAAAAATCTGGAAACTGCAGCATGACAATTTTACTGCTAATTACTGCCTTCATTTTACCACTTTTGCGGTTGTAGGCAGGGGGGTCTATGAGCCTGAGGATTTACGACCTCATGGCTAGTGCTGTCGCCATGACTGTGCGGTTGAGGATTTTATTTTGCCCCCGACAGAAAAATCCCCAGCCTTACCGAGGATTCAAACTTGGATCTCCCGCTTGATAGCCCTATGTTCTAACCGTTCAGCCAGCCGACAACTTTATTTCACTAGAGAATACAGATAACTCTTTCATTATTTACAAACCATTTGATCTGTGAACTGCTTTTAAAAAATAACATTTTATATATGAACCGCTTTTATGCTGTACTGATGATTAAAAAAATGTATTGACAACAAAAATCGATGTCCCATTTTAATGCCTTTATAATATAAAATCAGGGAGGGACAGTTTGATATTTACTTAACAAAACCAACAGCCAGAAAGACTGTAATGTCCAGGCAACACACACCAAGCGACAAAGAAGAATGAAAACTTTTTAGAATCACACCCATTACAAGCAAATAACATAGATGTTTTGGAATTTAGACAGAGATAATTCATATACAGCAAATATTTTTATAATCATCAACATTCATCAGTTTTGTCAAAGTTTACAAACAAGACACTTATTAAGATGTCTCATAATGCCTTATTGACAACATTTTTTCTCTCTCCTAAATTGCTGTGATGCCTTCTTGCTTTTACATATGTATAATTTTGATGTCAAAGCGGTTTTGCCTTTTAGGATCTCTCTAAGGACAAGATTTTAGCTGTGTGCCTCGGGCAATAAATGTTATATTTGTCAAAGTTTATCCTGGCTCTTGAGATATAACAACCTGAGGTTCAAAATTTGTGTTGACATAATGAAAGATGAAGGTTTAGACAGCAATGGAAGATATACTGGATTCTAACATGAAAGGTTTTCTGGCTACCACTGGAATACCAAGTCTATGACAAGGTTTTACCTGCTAGGACTTGATGATTATCTAAGGTCAATGTTTTACCTGCTAGCAATTGATGATTATCTAAGGTCAAAGTTTTACCTGCTAGCAATTGATGATTATCTGAGGTCAATGTTTTACCTGCTAGTACTTGATGATTATCTAAGGTCAAGGTTTTACACTGCTAGCAATTGATAGTTATCTAAAGTTTACATGCTAGCAATTGATGATTATCTAAAGTTTACCTGCTAGCAACTGATGATTATTTAAAGTTTACCTGCTAGCAATTGATGGTTATCTAAAGTTTACCTGCTAGCAACTGATGGTTATCTAAAGTTTACCTGCTAGCCCATGATGATTATCTAAGGTAAAAGTTTCATCTGCTAGCAAATGATGGTTATCTAAAGTTTACCTGCTAGCAATTGATGGTTATTTAAAGTTTACCTGCTAGCAATTGATGGTTATCTAAAGTTTACCTGCTAGCAATTGATGATAATCTAAAGTTTACCTGCTAACAAAAGATGATTATCTAAAGTTTACCTGCTAAAAAACTTATGATTTTCTAAAGTTTACCTGCTAACAATTGATGAAAATCTAAAGATAACAAGCTAACAAAAGATGATTATCCAAAGTAAACCTGCTAATTGACTGAAGACTGTCCAAGGTATAAAGGCTGTAAGTAAAAGAAAAGCAAAGAAACCTTGTTCATGCCTTCAGGTTGATGAAGGTTGTACTGGATATCAGTTAAAGAAGAAAAAATGTAAGTCACCATTTTAATCTTGTGCAGGCAAGAGAGAATCTAAAGCCAAGGTTTTAGCCATACCAATAGAATACACATTCTCAATGAAGGCATTGACATCCGCTAAAGACACTGTCTAAGATTAAGGTTTTACTAGCTACCAGTTTTAGCCAACAAAAATAAGGTCAACTTTTTAGATATCCTTTTTGAATTGTAGCGACTAAATTTAACTTCAGTGAACCTCTTAAAAAAGAAATTTAAAAAGAAAAAAATGTGAAAATTATTATATTTGTATTAAAATTTAACTTTAGAAATGAAAAGAGTTTGAATAAACTATGCATGCTATAAATGTTGATTTCTACACAGTGAGTTTATATTTTGTCCTATTTTATGCCGAGGTCATTGTATTTGTTTGTCAGTACTGTATTTTATTTACACAAGTCAAAGAATTCTGATTAGTCGATAAAACATAAGCCTAGCCCTATGTGCCTAATATCCTTAAAGGCGGGGAAAGTGGTCCTTTACTTTACCACATTTTTGGGGGAATAAATAAGTTGGGGGAGGGGTGAGGGGGATTGATCAAGATTGAATGGGTTGTGCAAGACTATATGAACTAAAACCTCTTGGAAATAAATTAAATAGAGCTATTTCTCACTGCTGTGCTTATATTTGTTCTCAAAGACCGACAGGCCACATTTTAAGATTCATATTTTCATGCAAAAAAACTAGAAGAAGTTGAAACCTTTAAATTCCTCGGCTCCCACCTATGTAACGGTGGCAGCTGTATCCAAGAGATCAGGACAAGACTTGATATGGCAACAGCCATGAAGCCCCACCTGAATGCGATATGGAAGAGCAAAATCAGTGTAGCAGTAAAAGTCAGTATACACAAACCACTGGTATTGTCTGTTTTTTGTACACTGATGTGAGAGTTAAACTCTCACTGCAGAAATGGAAGGAAGTGTTCAGGCTTTCGAACATAAATGCTTTAGATGAATTTTACAAAATAACTACGTAGAACACAAAACTAACCAAAATGTAAGAGACAAAACACATTTGCTGAAGCCTTTTCTGGAAGTGGTGAAACATTGCAAGCTAACTTGGTTTGGGCAAGTGGTGAAACATTGCAAGCTAGCTTGGTTTGGGCAAGTGGTGAAACATTGCAAGCTAGCTTGGTTTGGGCAAGAGGTGAAACATTGCAAGCTAGCTTGGTTTGGGCAAGTGGTGAAACATTGCAAGCTAGCTTGGTTTGGGCAAGAGGTGAAATATTGCAAGCTAGCTTGGTTTGGGCAAGTGGTGAAACATTGCAAGCTAGCTTGGTTTGGGCAAGAGGTGAAACATTGCAAGCTAGCTTGGTTTGGGCAAGTGGTGAAACATTGCAAGCTAGCTTGGTTTGGGCAAGTGGTGAAATATTGCAAGCTAGCTTGGTTTGGGCAAGTGGTGAAACATGATTCAATTGCAAAGTGTACTTCAAGGAACATTAGTTAGGGGATTTGGGTTGGGGGGTCGAAGAAGAGGGGGCCAAGGATGAACCTGGAATGAAAACATCCAGAAATGGACAGGAAAAATTAATATACACTTGACAGAGAAACATGGCCAGTGTTGTGTGCTACTGCTTGTAACGATAGACTTCCACAATCCGAGAGGGTCAAGAGTTATTATGTATTTATCTGCACGCTTCATCGTGAAATAATTTATGTCATTTTTAGTTCCTGATTATAAATTTTAAATGTTCCCTTTATTACCACTTATATCCTTTCTGGGGGGTTGCCATGGTGTAGCAGCTGGGCGCTTGCCTACGGATCAGAAGGTTGAAGATTTGAAGCTAGATATTTTCAAAATAACCTTGGCTCCCACGTCAACCCAGCCTTAAATGTACTATCATTTCATTTGTTATCCGATCAGGTCCCGGTGCCTTCCTTTTCTTAAGGTTTCTTATTGCGCATTCAAGTTCTTGGGGACTGAAGGGTTTATTCATTATATCTTGGTTATCTTCTTGGTTTTTACTTTTTTCCTCAGTTCTCTTGTCACTTCTTCTTCTCTCACTCTTGACATGAAGATTTTGCTTTCCTCTGCAAAACTATCAGCCAGCAAGTTTGCTGCTTGTTTACCACTGAAAGTTTTTCCACCATCTTCAATGATTGTGTGGGCACGGCTGGTATTATTCTCCTCATTGAGACTCTTTGGGACCAGCTGGTAGGCAACGACTCTTAGACCTTATAAACCAATCCCGAGCCCTGGGACTACTTTCTAAGGAATGGAAGGAGGCAGAAATAGTTCCCATAGCCAAGAAAGGAAAGCTCAAGGAAAACAAATTCAGTTACCGCCCCATTAGCCACCTAAGCTGCCTTGGAAAGACTATGGAAAGATTAGTGAACAACAGGTTACTTAATTTCCTGGAAGAAAACAAGACATTGGATGACGGCCAATCAGGCATCAGGAAATACAGAAGCACTGATGACCAAACCTCTTATCTCGCACAGGAAATTGAAGATGTTTTCCAGAAAAAATGCAAACTGCTAGCTACTTTCTTCGACCTGACCAAAGCCTTCGATAAAGTCTGGAAGAAAGGACTCTTGCTAAAACTAGCACAATGTGGGATAAAAGGACATATGTTTGCCTGGATTAGAGACTTCCTTTACAGACGCTGTGCGAGAGTCAGACTGGAAAATCACAAGAGCAAGCTGGTTAGGTTACAAGAAGGTGTCCCCCAGGGAGGTGTTATATCTCCTACCCTGTTTATTCT